GGTCAAAAGGATCACATTGACTTTATTTTTGAGTTAAAGGGTCATTGAAAAAAAAACAATACAAGAACCACATTGATTTTTTTTCAAAATTACAATGACCTCATTTGGTTTCTTACCTTTAATGAATGATTTTAATGACAAAGCGTGTGTACAGAAAGGCCCTCAGGTAATTCGTCCTAGTGTCCAAATTTTCTTTCAATTTTGTGCACCCAAATGCAGACACATCGAGAGAGACATCCATGGAAGCTAAAGAAGAATAAGAAGAAACACATAGGAAAAAGGGTGATGATATTCTGGCACAACCCTAATACATGAATGTTTTTTATTGTTTTTTTTTTAATTTTTCCTCAAAATTATTGAGAAAGACCCAGATTTGTATAATATCAAGAACCCTACTATGAAACCCCAATCATCATTTCTGGAAGGAAAAAAACCCCTAGATTTGAGGGAATGGATGATATATAGTTGGTGAATTATAGCATATTAATTGTTAGAGCTATTGTTCACCTATTATTACATTTGTAAAATGAACAAAAGAATACTATGATCGATAGAGAGATGGAAATTTGGACATATATGGATATCCAATATATTCTTTCACAGGCTTATTCAAATTTAGATGTGTTATTCAAAGAATATCAATCAATCTTTGAAATTCCAAGTAAAATAATGAATTGATTGCACTTTGGATTTAACCCTGGGATCCACACCCGAACCCTAATCCAAAACCAAATTATTAGCTCAAGATTGCCCCATTTTTTAGAAATTTTCTATGGCACGTGATTGATGTGTGTTTTTGGCAGGTAGCTTATGAATTTATCCTATCAGATTAGATTAGTCATCAAAAACCTTGAGTGTTTAATCAAACTGCTGCTAATTAAACCTGTACCTTCATTGACTCTAAAGATTTGATCATCTGAATTTTGGAAATGCATGGTTAAGTTGGTTTAAACTATACCAACTAGGGTTTATGCATAGTAAACGATCACATATTGATAATTTATTAGAACATTTTAAATTTAAATTCCTTTTAATAGCATGTTAACATATGATTCATTAATGACATATAAAATATACTAACAATGCATTAAATTTTCCACTATTCTTTTTTTTTTTTGGACTAAACTAAAGTGTTCGAGCCCGTGATCCTCTAGGAATAAAAATCATTCCTCTAACCACCGAGATAATTTGGTTATTGCTATTTAAGTATTCTTTTAAAAGAACTTTTTAGAGTATATACATATTCTTTGTGATCAATACAGATAAAGAATCTTAAAAACAAACTCTTTTAAACAGTCTTCAGGAAAGCTTATCCGCCTAACTGGGATCTGTTAGCCTAAGCTCTTTCCTAACTATAGTACAGGAAAAATTTACTAAAAATGGATGAAGTTTTGTGATTATATATTTAATTAAACTAATCTCCATCGTCTGATGTCTTGAATTTCTAAATTAAAAGTGATTGGACTCGGGAGTTATAATCGAACAATAAAGTATAAACAGTAATATAAATGATCATGATGAATAATTTGGATAGAAATCGGAAATTAGAACCATTAGTTGGTCATTTCACTAGAAAATGTCAATTTTAACATATTTTCTTAAATTAGATAGCTTTTAATAGATTCAAAGAGTGTTGTTTCCTATAGGGATCCTCAACTGTGTTTATATATGATGTTTATATTATCAATGGGTAAAAAAATTGAACAAAAATAACTTTGTAATCACCTTAACCTATTCATAAATAAATTTTATATCACGTAAAATGTAATTAAAGGATATAAGTTACGTAATCTGTAATCTGTAATTAATTCAATTACTAGATATACAGCTCGAAAACTCTTTGGCAATACTAACCTGTATGAAGACCTCAATCCAAATCCCTAGACATCAACAAACTTTGTTTATTTAAATCATGTAATCTAATTTTTAAAACGCCGCGCCAATTCATAAATTTGTTTTTTTTATTCCAGTATGAATTCCAAAAGTCCTGTTAATTGTTAAAAGTAATAGTACATACTTGTTACACATTCCACGTATAAAACTATAAAAAAGAACACATTCCATGTTTTGGGAAGTCAAAGTCATTAGCAGCATAGTAATGGTAATGATACATGGATTTTATTTTTAATTATTTTTTTATCACAAGGAGTTTTATTTTTATTTGATGATGATTCCCAAAACCCCGTTATATATTAATATATTGTAGGAAATTGTATGATCTATGCAATGAATCATATTATGTTTTATTTATTTGATCAATCTAATAGTGAAGCAAAACTCTTTATCTTGAAAACAATACGTCAATATAACCATGATTGTATTTGTGTGGGACAAAATGGGCTTAAGGGTTTAAAATTCGGCAGGCAGAGGAGAGGAGAGTGACCGGATATGCTAATTTACCCATACTTTTGGGGCTGGGCACCTTTAACATTCTTCCAGCATTCATCTACAATCAGAACTCCTTACGTTTCTATAACAGGAATAGTATGTAATTCAATTTCTGATCAGGACATAAGTTTTTTTCTCCCCGCACAATATTAATAATAAGGAGAACGCTGAATCACTTGCAAATCATGTACTTTCGAACATGGCCTTTTAAACTCAACTTTTTCTCCTTTAAAAAAGTAAACGCTGAAAATAAATTATGCTAACTAATAATTCGTACCTACCATTATTGAAGTGTTCTTTGATAAATGCTCTTGGTCTTAACATTATGAAACCAGTTTCAAGACGGGAGATATGGTAAATGAAAAACTTTTCACAAGGTGTATATACGCATTCAATGTTAGCATAGACTTAAATGTACCATTGCCCCTATAATATACTATTTGTATCAAATTGCTCCTTAAAGTATTTTTCGAGACATTTTATCCTATAAAATTTAAAACATTATCCGTTAAAAATAATTAATGACCAATCAAAACACACCGCATCATCCTTTAATTTGTGTTTTCTTTATCTAAATAAATGAAAATTAATTAAAAAAATAAAAGAAATAACATGCCAGAAAAACACCTCTTCCCCTCCACCACCTCCCCATCTCAATCTCAAAACCAGACTCCAGCCCCCGTTTTATCTCAAAACTTCCAACTCCATTAATTTCAAAACTAAGTCGAGTTGATTGCGCAAATACCTGGGGAAAAACACCATGAATAAATTCAAAAACAGATCAATAAACACTGGGAAAGATTGAATTTGAAAGGCTAAAACCCTCACCACTCTTTCATTGCACATTGGAATCTGGACTAAACCATAGGGAAAGTGGAAGCATCTTCAATGTCACAAGCATCTCCATTGATATTGGGTTTCAAGTTGTTATATTTAAAAAGGAATAGTTTGATGAACTCGGAGCCATTTTAAAACAGATGAGAGAATCATTGGATTCAACAAAACCCAAATCAAAATTCAGCAGAAGAATCAAAAACAAAAATTGGATTTTCTTTTTTTTTTTTAAAAAAATCACTGACATGGTAAATCACATCTACACAGGTAATCCATTAATGGAATTGATATCAATAGTAAAACTATAGTAGTTTCCTTCGTTTCGTTTCTTTGCAATCCTCGAGTGAAACCAGTCAAAACTAATCTTCCGACAACTTCAGCATTGATAGATGTTGTCGATTTGGAACTACCGACCGTGACGATCAACATCCCACCCACTGGCCAAAACAGTAAAGTTGAAAACTGATGTTATCACGAAGTAGCAATGTCGTAGTCATTGGAAGAAACATCATGTCCCGACGAAATCTTTTGCTTACCGCTGTTCCTCCGACGAAACATCATGTCCAATTTGCTTCCCCTTACCCTTTCTCTCCCCTTCCCCCTCCCTCTTCTCTCTGCTGGGTGAGTTTTATGGGTAATGTGAGTGGGGGAAAAGGAAGAGCTTGATGAAGAACCTGAGTAAGAGAGGGCTGCTGTACAGAGGGAAGAAGGAAAAAAGGGATGCAGGGGAAATGGAGAATTTGACGGTGGGGGTGGTGTAGGGAAGAGGGCTATTTTAGGGATATCAATCATTTCAGTTTTTAATTGATTTGTATCTTAATTGGTCATCAAATTTTATTTCTAACGAGTTGATTGTTTGGGTAAATGCGATAACGGTTTAAACTTCAGGAGATAAAATGTCTCGAAAAATACTTTAGAGGTAACTCGATACAAATGGTATGTGTAATGTAATGGTGCATTTAAGCCTAGCATCTAATATTTATGTAAACAACCAAGAAAACACCGTCTAATATGATATACATATATGCATGCATATTAAAAAAAATTGAGCAATTGAATCAAATGAATTGTACAAAGTAAACCTAACAATTGGCTTTGCAATAGACACAAATAGCCAATAAAAGTACCTGATGAAAGCTTTTTCACCTTATGGCTAAAAGAAAAAAGTATCTCACTCAAATAGGATTATGGTTCTTCTGAAAAATCTCACATTTATGAGAACTCGATGCAAATATGACAAACTCCTATCGGCTATTGTTGAACACTCTACAACTTCATGGACCCAAAAATCAGATAGTGATACTAGCAAACTCATTCTACAAGAATAAATATTGGAAAGAAAAGAGGGAATGGAAGTATAAGATAAGCAAAGTTTTCATTGAATAAAATACAACCCCCTATCAACAAAGGTCCTGAGGAATGCATTTATTTGTGATAGATTTTGAGCAAATGCTCATGACACGCAGTTCAACTAATTTTTTTCCTCACATGCTAAATGTCATCAACTGCTTAAAATTCTAAGTCAAGGCATACCAGCCATGTTAGTATTTGTGTCCAAACAAATCTCTAAGGACTCTTTTTCTTTAAGTAGGTTTGCAAGGAAAAGAAAATATTTCCTTCTTGCTACATCGAGATCAAAGATAAATTTAAACTTAATGAATGTTACAGCAGCATCAATCTTTTAATATTGAACTCAGTGGCAGCTGCACCATTGTCAAAAACCTTATGATTTTTCATCCCAAGCTTTTAATTTGATATTAATCCCTTACCTCATCAATTCAAATCTCAAGCGCAAGTGTGTATAGATAATATTACAAGGTCAAACTGAATCATTTAATACCAAGAGAAGTCACATTTCCGGCTTTTTAAAGAAAACCGTCAATAAACTAGTCACTCCAACGGTCTTAATGGTTAAAAAACTAGCATGTAGTTTCTCTCTTGAATTTGTTTTGAACAGTAAAAGATTTAGAAGAATAGACACTCACACGATCGAATGAAAATTGTCCGCAGTTGTTCCATCAACCTGATTAAAAAAATCATCATTCAATTGACAGATTATATAAAGCATTAAAAGCTAATGACTCCAGTAACTTAGTAACTAAACCTGATATTCAAGACTGAGCCAAAAGAGAGGCAAAATAATCCACCTGTCACTGCTTGTAGTATCTTCCTGAGATCTAATCCTTTGAAACCCGAACAACTATACCAGTCGGTGTATGGACTGTTTTAATATGACCCGATCCAATCAAGTCACGTAGGTGAAACCTCATATCAAGAGGAGACAATCTAAGGCGCTTCTTCTCCAAAGAAGCCAACATCATCTCTTTATATCTCCTACGATTTAAAAGAGAGAAGAGTTCCTTCCTTCCCTGCATTCCAAGCAAAATAAGAACATTGTAAATGCAACACTGACAGAATAAAGGGCTTAAAATTTTGATATATATTGTAAAATCTAAAAGCTTCAGACTTAGCTAAGTCAAAGCAGCATCTAAATTATTCAAAGAACTCAATGAATAGCTAAGTGTTCAAAAGTTTTGGAGGTTGTGCATCTATATATATTATACTCAACTCAAGGCCACATTTAATCCAATTTTGTAAGTTCATCCCAAACCAAAAATTTTAAAAACTGAAATAAAATAAAGGAACCAATGGGATTCCATCTAAAATTTATTTTCTACTCCTATTTATAACCAGAAAATTTGTAATTTTGTATATAGTTCCAATAGTGTGTGTGTGTATTTCCAAGCTACTGATTCACAAAAATGATCAGAACTTCCACAAAAGTAATCAGCACATGAACCCTTTCTCTGCAAAATATATCATCATATATTAAAATCCCACCAGTTAGAGCAGAAAAATTAACTGAAAGAAATAACTTACCTGGGAGAGGCCTTTTAGTATTGAACCAATATTTGGAATTGCAAACCAGTACATACTTGGGTCAATCAACTGGCGAGTCTGAAAGGGAAATGTTCTTCTTCGAATAGGTATAGACTCAAGAAGAAATCGAGCATGTCTAATTTAATGCAATATTGCAATTATACAAAAAAGTGGAAATGAAAACTAAGAGGGAAATGGAATTGCATAAGTACCATATGATGGGAAACTAAAAGGAAAAGAAAAGGGCCAATATGCATTCGACTAAATACCAATATGAATAACAAAACATTTTCACGGGCAGAGACATGTTTAAATTCATGCATTCTAATAAACTCATCCAGATGCCACTCAAATATAGGATGTAACTGTATTTTGATATAATTACTCAATTAAACATCTACAATCCTTTTTATGATATGCCACAGTGAAATATTCATATAATATTGAAGTATCCAAGGATAGAATTTCAAAAAACTAAAACAATATGACAAATTCAGCAGAACGAAATTTCACTTACAAGAAGGCCAGCATTGATTAGGAGGGATATGTGCTCATCTTTCACCCGTCCCCCTAGAGATAAGAGTGCATACTGTAGCAAAGATAAGCAAAGCCAAGAAAGTATAGAGTCATGCATGCATGCATATGAAAATGGTAATTTTTTCTGCAAAGAAATTTTTTGAAACAAACAGGGAGACATTCATAAAAGACTAGATGACATCTTCTAGAGTAACATGAATTCATGATATACGAAGTTATATCCTTGGTTTTTAAGTGCGCAAGGCGCACTGAAGCGCAAAGGGTCCCTGGAGCCTAGACGCAAGGCGCACGCCTTTTGTATGTGAGGCGCACTGTTTGTGCTAAAAAAATTATAAATCAAGTCTGGTACATATCCATACACATTACCCATTGATGCACTCCTAAAGTACTTAATCTCCTTCACACACTATGTTCACTATTGTTTGTTTTCAAAACCTTAGTTTCCAAAATACATAAACACAGACTTAGGGTGACACTATTAAATTAATAATTATATGTTTAAGTATAAAGAATTTAATATATAAAATAATGTTAGTTACGTATTTTGATTTTTTAATTAAATTAATTATTTTATAATATGTGAACATAATAATTAATTTAAAAATAAAATACTAGATTTTTTATTATTTTATTTAAAAAGTTATACAAATTTTGATTTAGTTGATATTTTATATCGTATCTCATTATAAGTAATGAATTCTAATGATTTTTTTTAAAATTGATATAAGAAAATTCAGTATAATAAATATTTAGATGAAAAATGTTAATTGTGTAAATAATTTTTTAAATATTCTAATTATAAAAATTCATTATAATTATAAAAATAATTCTTAAATAATTATAATTATATTTGTATATTCCTTATTTATATATATTCAATATTTTTATTTATAAAATAGTAACTATTTAAAGAAAGCAAAAGCCGAGAAGGGAAAACCAAAAACCAGAGAACAGCAAAGCGGCAGAGGCGGTGCGCTTTGGTGCCTTCCCAAATGCCTAAAAAGAGAGCTCACATTTGAGCTTCCTGTGCCTCGCTCCGCCTCTAGCTTTAGAGGTGATTTTTCTTGTGCCCATCATCGCTTTGTGCATAGGCGTGCCCTAGGTGACTTTTTAAACCCCAGGTTATATCAATCTCAAGCACAATAAAATAATAAATAAATTTAACCCACATTCATAAAAGATTAGATGATATCTTCTGATATAAGCACAAAGTTATATCTATCTCAAGACCTCCAACTCTTATAAAAAATTAAAAAAAAAAAAACAGAATAAAATAATAAATAAACAACACAATTCATTGGCGTTTTGACAACTCACAAGTTCTTGATGTCCAATGCTAGGTTCCAGCTTGGACTCAATAACATGCACTTTGAACCACTTAAAAACTTCAAGATTGCCTTGTTTCTTTCCTTCCATTCTTTTGACAACATGCTCTACCTGCAAAAATATTACAGACAGAAATCTGTCAAAATGAAGCCTACTTAGTAAGCTTGGAACAACACAAACATCCCTCACAAAGAGTGCCATGCACTATAAAGCCTAATACATAAATCAAAGTCAGCCAGATTATAAGTAACAGTCAATCACTTTGAACTAATGGAAACTAAAGTTGCAAACTAAACATCTCATCATTTATGAATTTACAGACATCAATAACCAACCTGTTTTAGATAATCATCTAAAAACATTATACCATGATCATCTTGCCCCGTATTTAGTTTGAAAATGCGCACTACTTTATCCCTCCTTAGAGACTGCAGAAAATCGTTATAGAAATCACATGGGACTAAGTGAGAAGGTTATTCTACAAATCAGTTCAGCAGAGAGAGAGAGTTGCAGGAAATATTACAATCAAAGAAAACTCCTAACAAACTAGAACATGTACTTGCTCCCCCTGCAAGAACTAGGAACTATCTAACTAGATAGTTAGATGCTTTTCTTATCACCTTCAGTCATAAAACATGTCCCAAATATTTACTTTACCAAGAACCAGATGATGTGTTCATCATAAAACATGCACGTCTAGCTATAATCTGCAACAGCCAGATGGTTCTAACCTGGAAAACATGTGGCAACACCCTAGAGAATCGAAGAAAATCAAAATACAAGACATCTCGGGATAAAGCCCTTAAACTAGAATATAGCATGTGAGCCTTCTGCATAAAATGTGCAAGAATAACACAACTAATCAAAATAACTTGCATAACACATAACTTCAAATTGCACATTAATTAAATCCAACCCACCAAAAAATGCCACTCCCATTATTCAATTAATAGAACACTTTTTTGGCCAAACGTACCATTGAACAATAGATCAGGAACAATTCTACATATGATGTAATATTCTAAATTTGAAGGTTAAGGAACCAAACCTCTAGCTCCCTATCCACTTGTGTTCTGTCCTTTACACTGCTATACAATTGTGACTGTAAAATAAAAGGTTGAATCGACACCTTGAAACATAACCAAATCAAATGAAACACTTTAGCTTTATCAATTTAAGGTTTAAATGAAAGTAGATGTAGAAGCATCTAAAAATGAATAAAATTACACATTGCAATTCGAAAAAGGAAAAGGTTTTTTTAATAGAGAAATGCTAAATAAATAGGTTTTAGAAGAAAAAGGTAGAAATTTTGAGAGAAGATAGCTAACCTTGTCAATCTGAGGAAACTGAACTCGCATCATACGAAGCGCCACCAAAGTGTCGCTAAAGCTAAGATTTTGCTCTGCGCGAAATTAGAAAGGATTCATGATGAGCATTCGCTAAAACAGGAAAGGAAAAAAATAGAAAGCAATATTTTTGTTGGAAGCGCCAAACTTTTACCGAGAGAATAAGAATGATTAGCGTCGCTGTCAACGGCCTCGATCTCTTCGTCTTCTCTTCTGCGTTTCTTTCCTTTGTCCATCTTTAAGTGAACCCTCAACCGACGGGAATTGGGAATTTGGCGCCGCACCCACCCTCTCAGGTTTGGAACTTTCTCAGGATAGTAATCAACGTGGAAGAAACATTTTACCAATGTTTTTAAAACAATATCATACATTGAACCGGTGAAAGTACTGATTTACTAAGTTAATTGGGTTCAATCACAGTTAAACCGAATTTTATATAAAATAATATTTTTTTAAATTTTACATAATATTCAAAGCAATATTAATATATATGTAACATTTTTTTAAGTTTATAATATTAAAAGGTATAAAAATATCACAAGTCATAACATATATAAATTAAAAATCATAAAATCAAGTGAAACAAAATGATTTAAATCAACTACAACATAATATTTAAGGTAAAACATATTAAATAATAAATATAATTATATAACTATAATAAAAAAAAAAATTGGGGCTTAAAAAAATCATAACAAATGATGTCATTTGGTTTAATTTTTTAAAAAAAACAATCTCACATGGCTAAGAAACATAGAAGAGCATCCCAAAAGTTTAAATAATAAAAATATGAGAACAAAACAATCTTACATGGCTAAGAAACATAGAAGAGCATCCCAACTTACTTCTATAAATAATAGAGGTAATTTGACATTCAAAATCATGGAGTCTTTTGGTGAGCACAGAGCGAACTATTCTTTCGCTTCAATTGAGCTCAAATTTTAAGCTTCAATCGAGCTTCTAATTTTTTTTTGAGTTCGAGCCTTTTCGAGTTCAAGTTTTAATATTATATTTTGAGTTCAAGTTTTAATATTATATTTCGAGTTCGAGTTGAACTTGATAAATTTTAGCTCGTGAGTTTTTGAGTCGAGTTGAGCTTACTTTTAAAGTTTTCGAGTTCGTGTCGAGCTCAGCAATACTCGAATTTGACTTGGCTCGTTGAATAAACGGCGTCGTTTAGTTTAATTTTTTTTTAAAAGAAAAAAAGTAAACCGGCGGCTCAAACCAGTTTTGACGGTTTTTAGCCAGTTCACCCCGATTTTATTAGTTTTCAGCCGATTCTACCGGTTTTCAACTGGTTCATTGTCAGCCCGATTTTGTGAGGTAACCGGATCGGATAGACCATCAGTTCATGATTCTATCGGTTGAACCGACCAATCCGATCTGTTTTTGATAATCATGCATTTTACGTAATTCCATTTGAACTAAAGAAAATATATCACAAATTAGGCTTAAAGGCACCCTTTAACTATTTCATTAGCACCTTAAGGTATTTTTCATTTTACCTCTTGAAGTTTAAATTTTTATCTAGTTTGTTTTAAATAGTTAGCTCCATTCAAAATAATAAAGGTAAATTATATATTTAGTCACTCAATTATTTTTACGATTTTGTTTTGGTCACCTAATTATCTTCGTTTACAAAACCATCCAGTTAACTACATAAATGATCACTTATGTTTGTGTTTTACTCACTTTTGGTCACTGATTTCAAAAAACATAAGATATGATCATTTTCGTTTTTATTTAATTAAGATGTGGCCATCCCGTTAAATATTTTGATATAATCATACATTTGGTCCTTGTTAATTTAGTCTTACTTTTAATAAATTTAATCCTTCAATCGAATGATATTACATGTCAAGCCACGTGTCACCATTTAGTTAGAGGACTAACTTTATTTTAATTTAATATATTTATTTCCACCAATCAAAGAGTGACATGTGTCACCTTCTAGATGAAAGAAAACAAAAGAAAGCAAATTGGGGCAAAAAAAATTCAAACCTTAGTCACTTAAGAAACCAAACATGTATCCAACCGTTAAGCCAAGACCATTGCTTGGTTTAAAGTATACAACATGTTGTATATATTTATATATATATTAACTTAAAAATATTTTATATTAACTTATTAAATATATTTTATTATTAACTTAATTTAAAAATATTTTATTTTTATTTTTCACTTAAACATATATATATTTTATGTTAAAATTTATTTAAATGTGTGATTAAATTAAGAGAATATGTAAATAACAGGGATCGAATGTGTGATTATACCAACTATCACGTCACATATTATATTAGTTGTTAACAACAGTTAACTCGTGATGACTACATCTTAATTAAATAAAAACGAAAGTGACCATATATTAATTAAATAAAAACAAAAGTGATCATATCTTATATTTTTTTGAAAATATTGACCAAAAGTGGACAAAACATAAACATAAGTGTGTAGTTAACCCCAAAATCATCACTAAACTTAAATTTTTGTTCCAATTTGGTAACCCAATTCGATTTAATTTATTTTTTAATATATTATATATAAGAATTAATTATATCGCATATTTTTACTCGACATATAAATTTAATTTTTAATAATAAATAATATTATTACATAAATAATAAATAACATATTAAATTATACATATTTAAAATTTCAATAAAAACATTAATATTAAATTAAAATATCATAAATATCTTTAATAAATAAAAATATGAATATTTCGGCAGCATCAACAGTCTCTTCAACAACCCTTACCTAGATCCAAGGCTCGCTTCTTCTCTTCAGTTCATCATGTCTTCTTCTAGTTCAGTTCCATTACCAGTAGTTCAGCTATATTTGGTCAGCATATGCTTGGGAACCACAAGGATACTATAGTTATTGCAGAAGTAAAGGATGTAGTCAATGTTGGAGATGATGTTCACTACTCAAGGATGAAATCATGTCTATATTAACGGTAATGTGCAAATATGGTTGTCTAAGATGAGAATATTAGTATGAAGTTTTGTTATTCTAAATGATGAATGGCCTTCATCCCCTCACTGGGTATAACATTTTGAAGCTCATATCTACTGGAGCTTCAGACTATAAAGTTACATATTTTATTTCCCAACTTGTCTATTGGGAAGGTTAATTTGTAATGAAAACTACCTTTTTGTACAATCTCAGAAATTGCCCTGGATTAGCCAAACTTGAAAAGTAATTAGTTTATTACGATTAGTTAATAAAATTGTGCTCGTTTTCCGTAAAGTACATAACCAAATTCAATCTTTTTTGTTGAACCTATTTTGATATAACAATTTTAAGGGTAAAAATGTTTTTGGACTAAATTGAATTTATTCAAAGTTTTCAAAAATAATTCAAAATCCATAAATTTTGAATTTGAACAAAAAAAATGATTTTAGTGTTGTGTAAGGTTACACCTTATTATAAAAGGTTAGAACAAATTAGTAAATTTGTTGAAATCCTTAGTTGGGAAGCTAAGGTAGGGGATGTAAACTTCATTAAGGGAGTTGAACCACTCTAAATCCTTATATCAATTTCTTACTTCTTTCAAAAGCTTCCAACAACTTTTTTATTTAGCCAATTCACCCCCTCTTGGCCATTTTCCTTGATTGATTGATTAACAATTGGTATCAGATTTATACTCATTAGAAGGTTTTTCCACCTCTTGAGAAGATCCTAGAAGAGTCAAGTCATCAAACAAGTCATCAAACAAGTCATCCATGACCACTACATCAAGCTTCGAGGCCACCGATGATTCTCAACCTATCAACTAGCCTTCTTACTTTAATGGAGCCAACTATGCCTATTGGAAGAATATGATGATGCTTTTCATCCAATTAAATGATTTGGGAGCTTGGGGCATCATATTGAGTGGGCATTCTACTCCAACTAGAGTTATGACAGAATGGAGTGAAGAAGAAAGGAAAGTGTTCCAATTCAATGCAAAGGAAATGCACATTTTATTTGTGCACTTGACCCCGATGAATATGGGAGAGTTTCATCTTGTTCCAATGCCAAGGAGATTTGGGACAAACTTGAAATTACTCATAAAGGAACAAATGAGGTAAGATAAACTAATATTAGTTTTCTCAATCATAATTATGAAAACTTCAAGATGAGACCGAATATTAAGAGAATGAACGATCGATTTTCAGTTATTGTCAATGGTTTCAAAGGCTTTAGAGAAGCCATTCCTAATGAGAAACTTGTTAGGAAGATGATCTATAGTCTTCCTAAGTCATGGCAATCCAAGAAGACCACCATTGTTGAAGTAAAGAACCTAAAGACCCTCAATCTAGATTGCTCATTAGGTCTTTGCTTATTCATGAGATGATGGTGAATGAAGAAGAAGAAGAAGAATAAGAAACAAAGATGAGAAAAATAAGGAAATTGAAAAGAAAAAAACGTTGGTGTTGCTCTCAAGTCCACTAAAGAAGAAAGTGACTCAAACGAAAATGATAAAGATGAAGAAATGGCAATGTTTGCCAAAAGATTCAAGAGGTTCATGAGGTCCAACAAAGCAAGTATATTCCAAAGAAAGAAGGTCTTCAAAAATGAATCAAAGGAGAAGGATTCTATTATTTGCTATGAGTACAAAAAGCCTGGGCATTTCAAGTTTGAATGCCCACAATTGAAGAAGAAGTGATCCTCCAAGAAGAAACACAAGGCACATGTAGCTACATGGAATGATGATGAGTCCTCCAATAATGAAGAGAATGAAGTAGCCAACTTGTGTCTCATGGAAATAGAAAATGATTCCAAGGTAACCTCTAATTCATCACTAATTCATCTATTTCAATTGATTATTCTTTTGATGAATTACAAGAGGCTTATGATGAATTAGCCTTAGAATATGAGAGCATGATTTCTAAGCACAAGAAAAATATTTCAAAATTGAAAGATGAAAATGCTCTACTTTCTAAGACTAATCTTGAACTTGAAAGTCAAATCAAATATATGCAAGTCAAACTTGAAGAGTTTAAAAGAAAAATCAATACTTGCATAACTTACTTTCAAGAGTTCATGATCATCTTAAGGCTTCTTTTAACTATGTTGGGACAAAAAGATTTGGAAAAGGTGAACATTCAAAACCCAATTATGTTAAAAATAACTTTAATTATTACAAATATAGAGGTCCCCAAAAAACCTCAAATAGAGAAGTTATTAGAAGTATATGGTTCCTAAATGGACAAGAATATTGGGAACTAATGTTAATGGACCCAAAAGAACTTAGGCACCAAAAATCAAAACTTAATTTATGTTTGTAGGTGAAGCATTGCTACAA